GTGTGTGTGTGTGTGTGTGTGTGTGTGTGTGTGTGTGTGTGTGTGTGCGTGTGCGCGATAGTCGGTAGCGTACACCACGAGCACATATAATACGTAGTAGGTAGCGGTGACCGTGGTCACGTCATAAAGTCACAACATCTTGACACGATATTCATACGGATAGAGGACGCCGCTGTACATATTCTCAAAACTAATGAAAAATGTATAAAATATTATACGACCCGAGTGTACATAGTATAGTAATAATATATTACGGTAAGCCACTAAGTCTTTTGTCACATCCCTCGCGATAGAACGGTTAGGGAGGGGGCTCTGACATCTAAACATTTCACATTTCACAAACCTTCCACCGCCCCTGAATTATATTGTCCTTTTTTTTTTTTGTGCAGATTCCTTGGTAGGACCTCAGACGAATAACAAAGAAAACATACAGAGTAATAGACCAGCCTTTCTTTCTCCATTTTAACCATTGTCCGTTACAAACACAAATTAATCACATCTTCACGATTTGTCTTCAGTCAAAAAATTGTCACATGATTTTGAGAATTTCTACCATTTGAATTGGAATTTCATGTTTGTATTTATTTTATACTATTTTTGTCTCTGCAAAATTCGAAACACATCGATTCCTTAACTTCTACAATTTTTAATTTTTTCTTAATTAAGCACAAATTTACATTAATTATACGTGAAAAAAAAAGAAAATTTAAATTCAATTGATTAGTAAGAACACAATTGAAATCATCAAACAACGAATAGCAAAAATATCAGTTCAAAAAGCAAATCACCCTTATTCAGATCAAAATCCAGAAGGATTTTATTTACCAATCTTAAATTCTGTTCTAAATAATCTACAAATCCGCTTTTCAGAAGATATCATCAACTACTTTGACCTACGTCTCTTGATACCTGTCACAATGAACTTTGAAACATTACAAATATTAGAATAAGTAAATAAAATCAAACTAAATATGATAAAATTGTTGGAGATTTACGGTAGTGTTTTGGTTATTAATGGATTTACTTCAAAGTCGAGTATGATATGTGGCTAGCCAAGTGGAAACATGTGAATACAAATGGCGGTAGAGCTATGATTTCAGAAACAGCTATAGAGGTACTCGATATGTTTCCCACAATTCATACTTCGATACATATTTTAGCAACTTTGCCATTCAGTGTACCAGTGACGTTGCCAGGAACTTTTTATGGGGGGGGAGGGGGTTCAGTAAATTTTTGTATATTTAATCTTATCACTATCATTTTGACTACTATTTGTATTGATATCGGTATTTTTAAGTCTGGTTGACACTAGTTTTTTTGACTCAGCTAAAAAAAAATAATTAATTTTCCTAGTCTGCTTATTTGTTAGAGAATTCGCCTATAATAATAAATCATTATAATAATAACAATTAAGGAGCTTGGAATTAATATAGGAACATAAGTATTAGATATTTGAATATTTTCTGTCCAATCACTTAGGTATACTAAAAATTAAATTTTAAAAATATCTTACCATAATGGAATGTTTAGACGTCTTAGAATGATGTCAAATTAAAATAAAAGAAATGTAATGGAATACAAATGTCAAATATAAACGAATAAACGAGTAGTAAGTAAAACAGTGAAACATCAACGGGCAACGACCAACTATTAACTGTAACTATATAACTATAAGTTTTACACAATAAGGTCACAAGCACCATGATCGGCGAGTCGCGAATGCAATAGGTATACCCAAAATAAACTTTGAATACAGACAATGATATCGCTTTTATCTCAATTATCGGGATCAGACGACCGATTTATAATCAACCGTTGTAGAAAACCTAAATAATATGTTCCCAAGCAAAAATTATCAAAGTAGTACGTGTAGTAAAGTATCTAAATATGATCATAATATTATGACTTGTGTGTGTGTGCAGCGTGTGTATAAACCATTTATAATATTTATACAAACTATTAATATGATTTCTAAGTCAAAATTCTAAAATATAAGAACGTTAAAGAAAAAACCGTGTTTCATGTAAAAGTTAATTTACTATCTTAGGTTTCATGGGGGGGGTTCTGACCTCCAAACCCACCCCATGGATACGCCACTGCAGTGTACCAACAGCTAAAAGATCCTTTTCAACATTACAACAGCTTAAAACTTGGTTGCGTACACAAATGGCCTAAAACAGGCTCAATGGTCACGCTCTCATGAATATCCATTGGGACATTTTTAGACATGTATAGAAATATAGGTCGATTTGCAAAAAATTAGATATATATAATTTAAATAATCAAAGATTAAATTTTATATAATAATTTGTAGTTGTTCATGTTTTATTTATTATTTTGACTTTTATAATATTTTGTATAATCTGCAGTACACTTATAACTTTTAAAATTAGGGCACTTGCAAGTTAAATAAAAATAAATTTTGGTCTGATAGATACTTTTGAGTATATAATTTGTATATGTACGTATATTTTTACAATTGTTATAAAGAAAATAAACTTAATAAGATTAATATGGTTACCTATGGTATCGACTTTAAAGCATCTTAACGTTCTTTGTTATTAAAGGTAGTAAATAATTATCATTATAAAATTAAAATTAAAATAAATTGTGCAATGTTGGATGATGGACCCTCAAAATATAACCCTAGTGACACCAATGGATGTCTTACACATCATGCAATATTTATCTACTATAAGTATACTCTTTCTTTCTTTATTTTTTATTTTTCGGTCTGTTCTAGTTTCTCTTTCTACCACTTAAGTTTTTTTTAAACATTTATATTGATCATTATTGTTTTTTACGCCGCATAAAATTTAAATACATATGTGATTGATTTCAATTTTTCATCAAAAAAATTGAGTTCATACCAATAGTAATCTTAAAATGAGTCATAAATATAAATATATTATTCGATATATACATATTCGGTCCATTTCTATGTATATAAATATAGTTATTAGTGTTTATTGTTCATTACATTCTTATTGGTCCAAGTTATGCACTATTAAAAAAATAATTTTTTCGAGTAAACGTATAAAAAACTTACGATATTGACGAAATCTTGAAAAGTTATAGCTGATGTATTCGATTGACGACATCGTTCAATGAAAACATCGCGTTTCTCTTGAGAGATTGAATTTACAAAATCCGACGAATTCAATAACATTAAAAAATCGTTCCAAGGAATTTCACCAAAACCTTCAGGATCATACTACAAATTTCCCAATTGGAAACAAATATTACAAACGTTAATATTTACTAAAACAAACTACAACAATAAACCTCATTAACTATGGTTTCTTGAAATATTTTTTACTTACTTTGTCAAATATATGTCTCCACTTCTACATAAAAAAAAAATATATGTATATTAGTCTAAATAAGAATACACTTAAGATTAATTTCAAATTTAATTTTGAATACAAACATCATTTAATATGAAATCCCTAAATGGGCAGTTCTTTTCCGATTGTGTACTGGTCGATTCAATCCCAGAACCAGGTGAATCAAATGACGCTAAAGGTGCTAAAGGACTATGATGATAGAGATCCGATGATGGACTGATAACGGAAACCATGAGCTCAAAATATCTTCGGCCCAGTCTCATTTCAAAAAAACTTGAAATATTTCTACGAACAAACATAACATTTTTAATAAATTAGTAAACTTACAAAATTATTAAGATAGTTAAGTTATATATAGGTTAGTTATATATAGGAGCTTTCATATTTAATATATCTAAAATGGTTATCACAGGACATAAATCGGCATTTCAATTATGTTTATTTATTTGCCTTACATGTTCTTAGATAATCTACCATATATTCAAACTGATTATATACAACCACATTTTATTTATAATCATTGAAAGTCTGATATAAATATAAAATATTTTCTTTTCAGAGTTTATTTATTTGGATAATATTTAAATTTATTTCAATACGTATAGGAAATATCTTGGATATGGCTACAGCCTATTTGCGCCCCAGAGTAGTACATTTGCGCCCCGAGGGATGTGGATAGATTCACCCGAAAGATAAAGTACTACCTGTCGATTTATATCCCATATGCGCCCATTTCACTTACAACGTTGCCATTGTGATTCATAATATAGATTATTTTTATCTTGATGAATACTTAAATTAAGTAGATTATTATATTATACTATTATATAAATTATTAGTAGGCATTTAGCTATACTCGTATAATTAATTACTATTAAGTTATTTAAGATTGGACTGTTATAAGTAACCGTAGAACGTACCTTTTCTAGGCTCAAGTTAATAAGTAGATCATCATTACCATCTGATTTGCTCAATGAAATCATTAATATAAGAGCAAATAAGATGGGTATGAAAATTTAATGTTTTTTTAAGTTTAATATTTAATATTTTTATAAGTAAACATTATACAGTAATGCACTATGAAATACACAGATTAATTTTTTTGTTAATTATTTAAAATTTTTCAAGTGTTAGGTTTGAACTCTGATTAGGATAGGATATTTTGTATTTAAATTTTTTTCATGTTTATCAAACTATTATCATTTATTTTATATTCTTAAGTTTTTTATGTATCTTAAAGAAAAAAAAGATATAAGTATACTTACTTATGTAATTATGTAGTATTTTCTTTTATTTTGTGCCTATTCTTACCTACAGTCATACCACAATAACATGCATAAATGTTTTGTTAAGAGTACTTAAGATTTAAGTTCAATAAAAGAAAATCGACTGTTGAAAAAAAAAACGAAAACCCGGTTTAAAAGTGGTTATCAATAAGTTTGATGATTTAAAACCGCTTTCAAACAGATAATCGGTAGTCTCATTTGTTATAGTTATTTTGGTAACCAGAAATCGATTACCGCTATTTCTAAGAACCACGAAGAATGGCAACTGGTTCTGAAAAAATTTCCGGGTTCTCTAGACCCGGTAACCAATTTTTCCAGGAGCGGTTTCAAACCCTGATTTATTATATTAAAATCCATTTTTATACACTCGCAACTCACATATCATACTCTAGTTAATGATTTGTAGTTTATGTAAAGTTGCACTACGTATACAAGAGAGTGTGACGTAAAAATTAAAAATAGTTAAAACTAATAAATAATATATACAATAGTATTAACTTTAAAAGGTATTGTTTTTATTTCAGAGTACAGTTTGGCAACGTTATACGAGTTTAATACATTTTTATTAAAAATATTTCGGGCGCAAATGGATCATGATTTTGGGTGCAAATGTGTTATAAAAAAGGTGTGATGGGCGCAAATGGTTTGCACCATTGGATATATCATCAAACACAGAAAAAATGTTTACGAAAACCTTAAATAACATATTCTCTAATCATAATTTTTCAAATGGGTACAATGATTAATCTCTACCTTTTTATTGGTCCTTTAAGTTTATTTTAACATTCAATAATAATTTTAAATATTTATTAAAATATTTAAAAAGTTTGCGTACCTAAATCATAAACCAAAAAATATGTATATATAATGAATTACTAAAAATTACTTCATATATGATATAATAAATTCCATGTAAGAAAAAAAATAAATATTAATCATTTTATTTGTGTAATATATATGATCCGAGTAAATAAATATATACCTAACAATGTATTGTTAGTACTTGAAAAATATTAAAACAATATTAAGCTATTGATTAGAATAATTATTATTGTAAACATAGAAACAAGTACCTATTAACTATTAATTTTTTAGTTAGAGTATACTATGGACTATGAAAACAAAATTTAAAAATCAAACCCTAAGTATCGGGAAAATCCTAACTACACAAGTCATCATCAATAACACGAACAAATAAATAACTTTTAGGTATCATATTAAAATTTTAAAGGGGCTAGGAACTAGTCATAAGGGGTGCCAATCACCATAAATGCTTATCCCTACTGAAAAGTAAATAGGACTATTGTCTGTGTTAAATCTTTTCAGACATTACAAACTAATATCATCTTTTTAAACATATACAAACCAATTTACAATAAAATACGAGTGATGATTAATTATAAAATATAGATTAAAAGTGAATATACTTCTTTAAATAAGTTCTTTAAAAACAATAACAATATAATAATATTTATAAATTTTATTATTTGATTTTAAAATAATAAAATTAAGATTATTGCATGTACTAGTATGTACATATAATTTACATTATACTGTTAAAATATTCAATTTTTTTTAAATATAACTTTATAACCAATAAGTAATTAACTTGATTTAAATCAAAGTCGACATCACATATATTCAGATTGATAATAAAATTTACAACAGAATTTTATTAACTGGTTACAGTAAATAATTTTAAATAACTTCACTTTTCAAAAATATAGGAAATTCCATTTAAATTTCAGTTAATTATTGTTTACAATTAAAAATTTTAATTATATAAAGGTAAATTAAATAATATGTAGACAATCTTAAAATATAATAGCACTGAGAATAAAAAAAAATTATTATATAAAATATGATTTCTTTAAAATAATAATTCACAATTATTAAATTATATATATCTGTATAATTAAATAGCATTTCGCCATCTATTGATTTATTACTGAACTACTAAATATTATATGCGCATGATTAGTTGCCTATGTATTATATTTCCAGGAACCAACTTTTAATTGCACTTATAACTATAACCATTGATTATAGAATATTCTATAATCAATGCTATAACTTAATGATTATTTAGAATATCATTCATAGTTGCGCGCACTACGAGTACAGGTGTGTCCCTAGAAATGTTGTAAACGGGGCACAATAACTTAAGGCTAATAGTGATGGCCCATACTTCAACTCATGTTGCTTTTATTAATGTAATTTATTCTAAAATATTTGGTAAAAAATAAATAATATAAAAAATTAAACTAAACTATCTAAATTTTCGTGTGAAAACTTATTATGTTAATATAAACAGCTACTAAGGTATACATCATAAATAATTGAAGCTATTATAGATAAATAAACGATATTCAAGATAAACATTCATTTTAGATAATATAACACAATATTCTATAACAAATTATAGTTAAGTTTATTTAATTATTTATACATTAAAATGTATTAAATATACCTACATGTTTTGTTCAGACAAATCCCAAAAGTATTGTAGGAACCCCCTGAAATACAGATCTGCGCACACCTATGCGTACAATATGTAGGTTTATCATTAACAATGTTCTCAATAGTAACATACTTTGAGTTAAGCTAACGAACATATTAAAACATTAAGTTCATAATATATGACAACAAGTGTGGTATTTAAAAGAATGACATTAAATAAAGCCAAAGTATCATGTGTATAGTTTTTACTTAAATAAACATTTGAAAAATCATAAATTATGTCATTCCATTTTTATTTTATTAAACAAAAAAAAATATAATAAATCTATAGCTATTTTCAATGATAAAAAAACATCCTATGATTTACAGTTATATATACAAAATTATCTGTATTAGATTAAACATTCCAATTCTTTAAATAAAAATATACATAGGTCTAGTATTTTAAACAGTATTCAGACAATTAAGATTTTAATAAATAAATATTTTTCAATTTTAACCTGTTAATAAATTTTTTATTTAAATAAACAACACAATGTTGCTTATAATTTATAAATACTTATTAAGTTAAATTTTAAACGAGCATGATTATATAAAATTAAAACTTTGTACTTCAATAATACGCAAAAATTATCTCAGAAGTTCTATGATTTTTTTTAAGAGATCCTTTTTAAAATCTATACCTACTTAATTGTCTCTATAATCATCACCATATTATATTACAATATACAATACATTTCTATTAAGTCTATGTGAAAAATATTATTTTTATTAATAATTTAACTTGTTATTACATTTTGTTAATTTCTTTTGACTTATTAGTAGACTGGAAAGTGGTGTTATTTTGTAGTATCAAATAATTTAATCTTAACACTTGTTATATAATGTACTATATACCAGCAGGAACAATATAAAAGAACATTTTATGTCTAATAAACTAAATTATCTAAATGAATTAATTTAAACTGCAGTATAAATTAATTATAAATATAGTTGAAATAAATAATTAATACAAGTATTACATTTTTGCTCAACTTTTAATGATGATTTTAGGTTATATTTCAAAAAAGTTGATAAAATATATATATGTTATACCTTATGAATAACTAATATAACTTATTGATAGATTTTAAATATGTAACATTAATATTTATAATAATTCGTATAATGTAGTGTTTTGAAATACAAGAATAATTATTTAAAAGTATAGTTATATAAATATTTTAAGTATGATTTATAATATAGCCATTTATTATGTTGGATGAAGTTTTTCAATAAACATTTATATAGAATTTATAAAAATTCCCATTTCACATTCCCTATTAGAAAATTGCAGAATATATGTAAATATAATTTCTAATTTTCTGTCATTGAAGTAAAATTAAAAAACAAGGACATTTAGATTCAGCGTCTTATCAGGCTTTATGACCATAACCTAGAATTGTATAGTAATGAAATTAAAAGTTCAACTATAAATTTACAACAATTATCAAAACAATTTTGAAACAGAATAAAATTATAAGCGGTTAATTTTAATAA